GAATAGATTCGGTTGATAGGCCGTGACTGACGCCATAGTATTGGGAAGAGGAAAGTGCTCTCTTTTCGAGTATTTTTTGTGTGTTGTTTATTGTGTTCTCTGTAACAGTGGCCAATAATAGGCTATATATATATATACATATATATATATAATTATTAAACCAATTTATGCCAAAATTAAATTTCAAATGTCATGTAATAAAAAGGCGATCACAGAGTCTTTTAGTTATCCTTTTTGATAATATTTTTTCATAGCCCACGAGCCTACAATAAGGATTTCCTTAGTAAGTCGGATTTTGAAATGATAATTTTAGTTTAATATGTGAAATTTAAATCATTTCAGCTCTCTCTATAAGGTTGATAGGACTCTGCAGATTTTGAAGCTACAGGCAATGTGTTCTGACATAATTGTTATGATAGTTTTGTGTGTGTGTGTGTGTGAGTCTGTTACTCTCTAGGCTCACTGTCACCACATAACATCTATAGTTGCACAAGCCGCTAATATAATTCAAACAGATTTTAATGTGATTGAGGGCTTGTATCTGAATACACATGGGACGTGCTAATTGGTTGCCATGAAGTATTTATCAGATAAATGAGAGCCAACAGTCTCCCCAGCTGGTGAAGGCTTGTCGACTGTGGGTTCGCCTGAGAAATGTGTGTTTGTTAGATCACACTGCGCTTGTGGGAACTAAATGAAACGGCACGGCAGAGATTCTTGAGTAATGTTTGCAATTACAACATGCTTGATGCATAATATATGTGCATATATGTAGAGGACACAAAGACAAGATATAGAGTGACTGATCTAAGTAGTCTGCTGGACTGTTATCACGATCTTATTTACTTACATTACAAGCTGTCAGAATTTTATCTTTCTGGCCAAATAAATGGGCCCGGTTCCAGAATCAAACCACTGAGGTGCTTCTACAATTAGTGAGGGTTAGTAAAGTGCAGATGAAATGTGTAAGCGGCTCTGCCATAAAAAGAACAGCAATGTACAGTGAGACATTTAAGATTCTTTACGAGTCTTTTACAAATAGTTGGAATGGAATTTCAAAAATATTTTGTTACAAATATTTTTCTAGTAGTCTGCATCTACATTGCTTAATGCGTATCTATTTGATATGCCATATTTTTGTCCCATGCAATGTTTATCACTATTTATCACTATTGTCACTTTAAAAACTTTGCAGCGTGTAATTGGTCGGTCCTCTGAGCAGCGTGAAAAACAAAACTTTGTCACAATTTCATTCATACAACGTTGTCATTCATATCAGTTGACCGAGATCCAACAAAGTTAAATCAGTCGGACCTGCATAAAATGTACATATTTTTGCTCGATTTGGGCTTCTGAATAACATTAAGGTGCTTTTCCTCTTAAAGTTTCTGCTCCTATATGAACCTTTTTTTTGTGAGGGTGTCCGGCTTTCTTTAAATGGAGTGTCCAAGTTTAAGTGATGAAGGCAAAAATATTATATTTTCGTTTGGGCATTGAACAGTACAGCACTGCTTTGGTTGTCTACTTCTTCCAGACCTCCAGCATTTAAACGTATCATTTCTTCAGACCTGGTGATTTTAGGAGCACTGATGAGGGTCATAATCACAGAACAGAGTCTGACACCTGAACCACATCTCTCTCCCCTTGTCTGCCACTGCTCCCAGGTGAGCAATTACAGGACCGCCGGGAGCCTCTTGACACACACATTCTTAATCCAGCTACTTCTTATTCTCACACACACTATACTTCCATTACCAGAGGAGTGAGTGAAAGAGAATGCTCTATCAGTCTGTCTGCCAGCCGAGCGATCCATCATTTATATGGATGGAGACGGGCAAGGTGGAGTTTTTTCCCTAGCTCTGTCCTCTACAGTTTGAACACTTCCCTTCTGCCACTGTACATCTGCTTGCCCTCTCTGGTCCGTCCTTCACTTTTGCATTTTTCATCACAAACCTTGGACAGTTAGCAGGTCCAACGATCTATTGATTTTCTGTTTACACTCTTTTCACTCTTAGGTTGTCTCTCCTTCTCTTACTTTTCCTTTTCTTGCCATGTTTACCCAGGTTTAACTTTTTATTTGTCCTGCCTCATTTTTACTCTTCTTTCTATATATATTCCCTCTCTTCAATCTTTACCTTAATCTATCTCTCCCAATTTTGCCTAGAGGAAGAAGTATCTCATTTTCTCCCCATTTTTAATAAAAGTGAGGATGTATTCTTGGACAATATTAAATATTAATTCATGATGTGTATTAATAATGCATTATTTATGTCCTGTGATGGCAGAGGTCTGCTGTGGAAAATTTATCAATTTACCTGGATTATTTTAGGTTATATCCCGAGGGAGTGGGGATCAGTGGAACACCTTTTGCAGGATGACAAATGTCATGTTCTTTTCATAAAAAAATTGCTTTATTAATGAAGTGCATAAAAGCTCATAAAAATGGTAAATGGGACACAAATGGAACACTTCTTTATAGTGGAAAAATGTTTGGATTATTATTAAAATTATTTAAAAATGATTAAAGGGACACTTCACCCATTTGCATTAAGCTTTGTATCTTTACAAACCCAGTCATATGTTTGAATGGTCATGGTTTATTCCCTTATTTTCCCCTGAGATGGGAGAAATAAGGATTTAAGTGTTTTACTTCCTGCTTATTATGACGTAAAAATCGTCATTTTGCGTCATAATAAGCAGGAAGTCACAATTCATTAAAAAGTGTAGAGACCACAAACATTAGCTCATTATTATTCAAGGGTGTGGGACCCACTCACCCTACAGGCCTATTACAGATCAGTGGGTGGGACTTCACTTGCACTGAATCAATACATCAGCCATCTTGTTTTTGGAAGCTAAGCTAACAAGCACTGTGGAGATAGGAAGTATGATAATGATGGAAGAAACTAAACATGAAATGGAAGAAGAGCATTTTGAAATTCTGCTGCTCGAATCCGATGTTCGTGGCTATCTTTACGCGTCGCAGTATAGTGAAGAGCAGCTGAGGCTGATGGAGGAACAGGAGGCGGCTGCCTGTCGAGGTCGAGGAGCCCGGACTGACTCGAGCTGAGGCGGACTGCTGTGCCTGTGCTCTCGCAGTGAACTACAGACACAGAGTCCGTCTGCTGCAGAGAATTTCAACGATGGTCAATTTCTCCTGAACGAAATCCCTGAATCAGACGAGCACACGGATGTTTGTGTTGTGATGTGAACCATCCTTAGTTTCGCCTGACTGAACATCCAGGTATCATGCAGTAATTCACCATATAGAAATAAATACAAACGAGGATTAATTCACTAATGAGTTTGCCAATGTAACGTTAACGGGGTTTGTTGTTGTGGGAAGAAGGAGGCGGGATCCGGCGAACATTTAAACATTTTAAAATGAACAAATAGAAAACGAAAATATAAGCCAGCAGCCCCTCATTGACGACTGCTTTAACGTTACTCACAACAGAAACAAAACACATCTTAAAATCAGGCCTGTTTCTCTCTCGATCTGCCGTCGTCTCTCCTCATTTTATGCTTTCGCTCCTCCGTGAGAGACGCGAGACTGGCGCGCGGTGTCTTTCATTATCACTCACGCCACCGGCCTTGCGCCATCCTCTTACGTCCCTCGCCCTCGATCGACCTGGGGTGCGTTTCCCGTTCAATGACGTAGTTTGCTGCTTCACTACAATAGTACGATGCATCGTTGGAGAAATCAACTAGCAAGTCACGACTGTTTCCCGAAACCCATTGTCGCAAAGTATCGTTCAACCACGTTGGTTTCGCACGTGGTGGAATAATAACAACTTTTAAGGAAACTGTTTGAGATCCAATTAACGCTAGATTTTTTAATATAAATTACAGACATGTCATCTGAGGACTATTTCTAATTGTTCTCAGTTATTTTGCTTCATTACCAGACTCAATATTTGGTTGTTCTTACATAGTAGAGCACATTCGCACATGCGCACTCTTCAAACACGTTACTTTAAATCTTTTGACAAACTAAAAGACGTAAATTACATTTGTATGTATTCTCAATAAAAGGCACCGGTTGTACTGAATGTCAGCTTGCTTATTTTGCTCAAGATAAGGATTTATTACCTCCAAATGTCATGCAATATAGAAACCTCTAACCACAGGTCGAGAGCTGTCGTTCAAACCACACAACTTTGCGATGCTGTTTGCGAATGTTCGTTGGAACGATGGTTTCGGGAAACACCGACTAGTTGATCTATACAGAACTTGCGACCATAGTTGGCTAACGATGCTTTCGGGAAATGCACCCCTGCTCGCCACAGCCAACTAACTAGAAATTTTGTGTGAAATGAATTTCAAACTCTGGTGACAGCTAACGTTAGCCTTGTAGACGGAAGATTGATTTCTCTGTGATGTGGCTTGCGGAGCTGTGCAATGTGGTGCATTGTGGGAGTTGGTGTCTTACATACAAATGCGTCCCTAGGTTATTTTCTGTCTTTTCTCGATCAAGAGGGCACCAAATTCAAAAATTCTTTTACATTTCGAATTTCAATAAAGATTAATGCTGAAATGGGTGAAATTCTCCTTTAAAATGATTAAAATAACTTTCATTTTTTGGTGAACCACTCCTTTAATGGTCTACCTGCTATTTTCATGGATGTAAACACCTGATTTATACTAAATATTGTTCTGTATTTGTACTGTTTCCGGGTTTTCCTGAAATTGCAATACGTTTAAAAGGTTAAATAGGGCATTCCACTAGATCCCTCCAGTGGTTTGAGCTTATTTGAATATCTGTGGAAATGTGTGTGTAAAAAAAAAATAGGCTCATATGTCTTTGTTCCAGTTGACAAGTACCAAAGGGACCACTCAAAGACAAGTCTTTCTGGAAGAAGCTCAAACAGTCTGGCTTTAGTTACAGCTGGAGAGAACTATCTGCAGAGAGGGAGAGAGAGAGAGTTAGGGAGGGAGGGAGAGGAAGGGAGGGAGATAAGAGACCGAAGTGCTGAAAAGAGAAAGGATGAATGGTACAGGACCACATGTTGGGTTGATGTGACAAGCACGCATCACCAGCGGCTCATTCTCCAGCAGGACACCCGAAAACACTTCTAGATTCAACGGTAATGTATATGAACACAACATAAACACAGAGTTTGATGTTCTACACTTTTTTAGAATCAGTCTAGCAACCGGAGCCACATTGTGGTTGCATGCAATATGTGTTCATGTGGAAATGAAGCAGTGCGTAGATAGCATGTTTCGTGTGTTTATGTGATGTTTTGTTTAAACCAGGACAGCTGAAACATCAGTGCGTTCCAGTCTCTCTCTCATTAAAAAAAGCAGCTGTAAAGTTGCCTCCTCTATTCTGAATCCCAATCCATCTGCCCAAGGAGCTCTAAACATCCGTGTACAACAACCATCAACAGGGGTGAGGAAAACAGGAGACTGTTGAAGTGACTGTGAACATGTTGTCGATCTCAAACCGGAACCTTTTGAGCTGCACAGACCTGGAGTGCCATGGAACGCTTCAAATGGACTATCAGTTCGGTGAATTAATCGATGTCGCGTTTGAAAAAATAGTCCTTTAATGGCCCTGAATGGGACGACTGCTGAACTCAGATCCTCTGCGATATCGACTGAGATTTTGAAAGACAAAAGCTCTGAAAATTGGCTCATGGAGCAGAAGGTGTCTCTGGGAAATGCACTTCTCAATTACTCGATGGATTTCAATTGTAGTGGAGACAGAAATAGGTCGGTAGATTTGTCCTTTAATGGCCAGAAGAACTGGGTGGCTCTTTTGATTTCGCTGGTCATAATCATCACAGTGACTGGAAACATTCTGGTCATCATGGCAGTGAGCTTGGAGAGGAAGTTACAGAATGCCACCAACTACTTCTTGAGGTCTTTAGCCATTACGGACATGCTTCTGGGTCTCCTTGTAATGCCAGTAGCCATGCTGACGATCCTCTACGGTGAGTTTCTTACAGATCATCATACACTTGCAGTATTACACAATAGAAGTCTATGGGGCAAGGCATTCCCCCAAAATAACTGTTAAAACAGACAAAGTTTTGAAAGTATTGCCTTTTTTTCAATCTGTCAGTATCAAGTGCTCCTGAAGATCTTAATTTGCTGGTTCAGTTGTGTTTGATCAGGGTTAGAGCTAAACTTTGCTGGAAGGTCGATCTCCAAGAACAGGACTGGGCACCTAACGCATGTAACATTTGAGAAAAAAGCACAATTTCCATCCAGTTGAAGAGAAAAGTCATTTCCTGATAAACTGCAAAATTATCACTAGGAAAAATGGAAGGTGATACAGTGTGTGAGAAGCCACTAATAATGTTTACATATACAATATATTACTCCACAGAGAGTGCAGATGAAAAACGTGTTCCTGTTAATTGCTTTCTGAGGCGGATGCCTAATGTTGGTCGGTTCTGGGAGGTACTTTGACGACAGACATTCTGGCAACTCGGGCATTTCAGAATGACCAAAACAGCATTTTAGATGCTGTGCAATGAGATCATCAGTCTTCTGGTTTGGTCCAGTTATGCCTATTGCAAAGCCACATGTCTTTTTAGATGCACATCTAGGAAATGATTCGTAAATCGTAGTTTATGCACGTTTTCTTAACAGATAAAAAATGTATCTGAAGTTGAGCGCATTTTTTCTTGGCGTTTCCATCCAGCGTTTTTTTTTTAATGCGATATCCAAAAATGATCATAAATGTAGGTGAATGGAAACAAATTGAATGTTTTTTAGGGCTGTCAAAGGTAATGTGTAATACTTTTTGAATATTGTCTTGTTTTGCATTGAGATGAATCATTGTTCATGAACAAAATAAGCACGAAATCCGCATAAAATGTTGTTTTTAAAAATAAAATCAAGCAAAGATTTACTTAATTTTATATTGGAGTAATAGTGGGTAGAAAAAGATACAGTCAAAGTAAGGAAACAGCATTTAGTGTCTGTCACTATTTATCTCACACAGTATCGCTTTTATATTTATTGTAATATTTATTGTAAAAATATACAATAATAATTAGTTAAATTTATATAGCTTTTCTGGGTACTCAAAGCACTTTACAAAGAAGGGCGAAATTTCCTCAACCACCACCAATGTGCAGCATCCACACGAATGATGCGACGGCAGCCATATTGCACCATAACACACATTACTGGTGGAAAAGTGACAGTAATGAAGCCAATCAGTATAAATGGGGATGATTAGGAGGCCATGATGTACGGAGGCCAATGTGCCAATTTGGCCAGGATGCCAGAATTAAACCCACTCTTTTTTCAGAAGGACATAGGATTTTTAATGACCACAGAGAGTCAGGACCTCGTTTTCGGTCTCAATTTGTACAGAAAACACAAACTGCATCTACTGCCTAAAAATATCTAGAACGCCTTGAACTATTAACAACATAGGCTACATTGTTTTTACAAACAGGGAAAAATCAACCATATTTTTATTTATTTTTTTGTCCATAATCAACACAACAGCATGGGTAATGCCATTTCTTAGCATAGATAGATCATAATTATGACTTCTGTTATTGTCGACAACATGCCCCAGATGCTGTTGATAGACAGTAAGTTGTTTAGAAGCCAGAACATTCCTTTAAACAACACAAATTGTTTCAGAGGTTTTTTTTATTTGAGCTGTTTTACAGAATCAAGTCAAGTCACCTTTATTTATATAGCGCTTTTTACAATACAGAGTTTTTCAAAGCAGAAACAATAATGCAAAAAATAAGAAAATAGCATCACAGTCCAGCTTAAGTAAGTTTAGTGATGTTTTTAGTGATAATAAATATAGCCGCTCTGGATTAAACAGTGATGTCATCATCCAGCTCAGTTCAGTTCTTGCAAATAGTGTCACTGCAGGCAGATCAATATTATTGTTGAATATTAGCACTCATTAGATGTCTCCAGGGAGTTTCTTCCATGTCAAAGGTGTAAATTGCAAACTTTCTTGTGTTATAACATTTGTATCTCTGGAAAAAGATGTATAAACAATAATTAGCCCTCCATACATTTAGCTGGAAGGTGATTTATTCCAGCGCATAATGAGTATGTTGGACCGTCTGGTGCGTCCTAAATTAGTCTGCTTGTATTCACGCATGGGAAGAGAAATCCCTCTTCCTACTCCTTCCAGCGCTTTGATGAGGAATTAATTATGCAGTAACGATGCTGCGCTTTGGTGTGTGTTTATGCAGCAAAAGTTGTTATGACTCCTATTTGATGTCCTGAATAGTTTGACCAAGGAGAATAAAACATGCCACTTCCTGTTTCTATCAGACGTACTATGTGTTTTTTTTTTTTTTTTGCCGTTATGACAGCTGGTGGTGTGAATTTTGATAACACACTTCTAAATTATTTATTATCATTCTTTCTTCTTTTACAGGTGGAGTTTATTATTTATAGATCAGAATTTGTCGTGAAAAGCTAGACAAAACAAAGTTTGCCTAAAGCACACATAACACATTGTTTCTATATCAAACATGCAGAACTCATTCTGAGTGACAGCAGCTACAAGACCCTGTATCATCTTCTGCCCCCTGAAACAGGTTATTCCCGCATGATGTAATGGTATTATATAACCGGTTGAGAGTAATTGAATTTATATAGCCTACATGAAACTCCAGGCACTGTTAAAAACACGGTTGTCTGTTTCAGCTGAACCTGTTTTGAGAATTCTGGGAATGACTTCACAGTTCGGAGCACACCATTGAGTGTGATGGTGCTGTTGATGACTTCCACTGTCTCTATCTGCTCCCCAGAGTCTTCTATTCTCACGTCTTTGATTCCAGAACACATTTCTTTGTGTTTAGATTCAATCTGTCTTATAGAGACACGGTGCCCTCCAAAACATCTCTGTTCTTTGTGCGTCAGCCAACTAAAAGGCTGATTCTCATGAAATACGACACTTTATTTGGCCAGTGACTACTGATGCCCTCCTTTTGCAAGATTATTATAGGTAGTAATGAAGCAAAACATGTTTTAGATATGAAAAGCGCAGTTCTTGCTCCTGTATAGTGCAAATTCCATTTAAAAGAGTTATTGAATACATGTTTACTTTTTATTTTACCCTGAGGTCCAATTATGATGTAAATTAAGTTTTTGGTAGCACTTTATTTTACAGTCCTGTTCCCCATGTGCATACTATGTACTTATTATAGTAATTACAATAACTGGGTAACTAATAACTATAACCCTGAACCTACCCCTAAACCTAAACTTAATGCATTTAGTTACCTTAAATTAAAGGGATACTCCACTTTTTTTGGAAATACGCTAATTTTACAACTCTCCCAGAGTTAAACTGTTGAGTTTTACCTTTTTTGAATCCATTCAGCCGATCTCCGGTTCTGGCGGCACCACTTTTAGCATAGCTTAGCATACATCACTGAAGTGCACAAGACCAGTAGCATTTCTCTCAAAAAAATACCAAAGTGTTTCGATATTTTTCCTATTTAAAACTTGACTCTTCTATAGTTACAATCAGTTTAACTCTGGGGGAGTTGTAAAATGAGCGTATTTCCCAAAAAAGTGGAGTATCCCTTTAACCAGTAGGCCATACTTTCTTAGGTAAATACACCGATGTCCCGTAAGTGCACATACTGTAAAATAAAGTGTAACCAACTTTTTTGTACCCCAAACACGCACTTTACAACTTTTCAACCTCTCTCTGACCCTTAAAATTAAAGTTTGTTTATATTTATTTTCCTGCTGTTCCTTAAAGGAGTAGTTCACTTTTGAAAAAAACTTTTGCTGATAATTTACTCACCCCCATGTCATCCAAGATGTCCATGTCTTTCTTTCTTCAGTCGAAAAGAAATTAAGGTTTTTGATGAAAACATTCCAGCATTTTTCTCCATATAATGCTCTTCATTGGGAACCAAACGGTTCAAGGTCAAAAAGACACTTTCAGTGCAAACTGCAAACTGTTCGAACTAGGGCTTTAAACGATTCCAGACGATGAATAAGGGTCTTATCAAGCGAAACGATCGCTCATTTAATAAATAAATAACAAAGTTTAAGTTTTATAAGCTCAAATGCTCGCCTTGCTTTGTTCTGTGACGCACATTTGTGACTCTCCTGTTCAAACGAGTCATTTGGTTCATTCAACGAACGAAACAAACGAATTGACTTGGAAAAAGATTCGAGCATTTGAGCTTATAAAACTTAAGTGCATTATTTGGAGAAAAATCTTGGAATGTTTTCATCAAAAACCTTAATTTCTTTTCGACTGAAGAAAGAGGTGGACATCTTGGATGACATGGGGGTGAGTAAATTATCAGCAAATGTTTTTTGAAAAGTGAACTACTCCTTTAAGACTCTTTTAAGACCACTTCAATGCCCTCTTTGCATGTTAAATTAATAATATGTATAATATATGGAGAATGTATATAAACTACTGTTGAAATGTTTGGAATATTTTAAATGTTTTTGAAAGAAGTATCTTATGCAACATTATGATGTAAAAAGAAGATTTGTCATTAAACACATAAATTTGTGGTTTTGACAATGTGAACGTCTTGAACAAAAAAGCATAAATGTTGACCAATGAACATTCAATATTATATGACTGTAACCAATGACACACAAGTATTTGCTTGTCCCAAATGTGACACTTTTTGTGTATCTTATATGTTAGGTTACACTTGGCCACTCCCCCAGGCCTTATGTCCTATCTGGATCTACCTGGACGTTCTCTTCTCCACGGCCTCTATCATGCACCTGTGCACCATCTCTCTGGACCGATACATCGCCATCCGTAACCCCATCCACCACAGTCGCTCAAACTCTCTTACAAGAGCCAGAGTCAAAATCACAGCAGCCTGGACCATCTCTGTGGGTAAGTCCAAGATCTTTCCAGCTCATTTCTGAAATGCTAAACAACTGAGATTGCATCTATTAGCACTGGTTTGCCAAACAGCTCCAAGCTGTCTTCTTACTCTCATTTTGTCTCCATCTGTCTCAAGTTATCTCCATGCCTGTCCCAGTTCTCGGCCTGCACGATCACTCCAAAGTCTTCCGGAATGAAAGCTGCCAGCTGACGGACGACAATTTCGTTCTGATCGGCTCTTTTGTGGCGTTCTTCATCCCGCTCATCATCATGGTCGTAACCTACTTTCTCACCATCCGTGCTCTGCAAAGCGAAGCGACTTTGTGCCTGGACCAACTGGTCGTGCGGCCAAAATGGTCGGCCACTATACTTTTCCCTCGTGGCTCGCTCTCGTCCGAGCGCCTCTTCTCGCGTTCGTCTATCTGCCGTGACGGGGCTTCCAGCCGTCGCTCCATGCAGTCCCTCAGCAACGAGCAGAAGGCGTCTAAAGTGCTTGGCGTGGTCTTCCTTCTCTTTGTGATCATGTGGTGTCCGTTTTTCGTGACAAACGTGATAGCGGTGGTGTGCGGCTCGGCGTGCGACGAAGATCTGGTGGGGGGACTGATGAACGTGTTTGTCTGGGTGGGTTATCTGTCATCGGCGGTCAACCCTTTCATCTACACGCTCTTCAATAAGACTTACCGTGCCGCTTTCGCCCGGTACATGCGTTGCCGCTACCATGAGGAGAGGAGGCCTCTGCAGATGATCCTTGTCAACACCATCCCTCCTCTGGTGTACAGCTCCCCCGGGCTTCCCTTGAAGGTGGAGAACTCATTAAGGAAGAGGGCAGAGGGCAGTCGGTCTGGGAGCTTCTCCAACACAGATAGGTCAAACTCTAGAAACACTCAAAACAAGCAGGAAAGGGATGAGGTAGTAAGCCATTTGTGAGACTAGAAACAGACTCTGGAGTTTTTAATTATGGCCCACATCAACAGACCTTAGAGATCGTCTTTTTTTAGGTGTAAAGGCTTGAAAAAATAAGTCTTTTATTTTAATATGTGTCCACCTGTGCAGCATAGCACAGTCAGCAGATTGTATTACCTACGGCTCGAAGCCAAAAGAGAAGACGGATGCTTTATATTGTTTCAACAGCAATAAAGGCTCACAACTCTCTATGTGGGACTCGCATCACAATTTTCTGTTTATTTTGTACAAGATTTGTAAAAAAAAAAAAAAACTCACTGTATATGTTTTACACAAATATCCATGTTATGAATGAAATGTTAATTTATAATATATTGTATTGTGAAGACCTCATGATTTGTGGGTAGATTAAATAAACCGTACAATGAAGATTTGGTCGCTTTCTTGCGACAGACTGGTTTATGGTCTGTTCAAAATGGGATTTGACAAGGACTCACAAACAATTCATCTCGAATCATTAAATGCCATCTGAATGAAAAACAAATGCAGACAAAGTGAAGAGTGAGGCCAATAACAGACCAACTTGAGACATTGAGGAGTGTTAGGCTAAATGAAAGTGTCTAAACAGCACTCGACTTTTAATCGTGGCAGACTTGCAAAACATTGTGTGGCTGCTGATGTCATTGTTAATTAAAGATAATTGAAATTGCATGACAGTCATGTGACTGTGATGTGAGAGGTCAGATATAGCTCACGCATCTAAGCAACGCAACACAACGTGGACATACTTCTCGGACTCTAAAGCCAATGTACGGATCCACCTGGTGTACAGTATGGGTAAGGTAAAATCTGGCGTCATTTCTTAGATTTAAGAAGCTTCTTTGGCCAGCACATCAGACTGAAGCTAGGCCATATCGGTTTGAGAAATGTTTATTATTATTTGTGTCAGAGTTAGCTTACGTTGAACCATAAAAGACACCCTGAGACCCCTTACAAAATGTACTGTGGTGGTGTAGCTATCACTAGGCTATATTTAATACCATGTAGCCTACTTTGATAGGCCTAACAAAGAATTCATATAGCTTAAAACGTGGTACATCTAATTTACTCTAAGGTATTAAATGATAAAGTACATAGACGTTTATTCACATTTTAATAATGTAAATAACCATAACCAACAATTCTTCCGTGGGTATAAATGAGATCATAATATCAGCAGTGCATCTCATTAGCACAGATTTTGCAGCACGCGCGCACCCTAGCGGAAAACAAAAATACTACATCTGCATCATGTCTCGCATGTGTTTAACTTGCTCACCGCTGGTTGGCGCTTAGTTGTTCTCTCAATATTTCAAGTTGTTGCATCGAGTCCCAAAATAGATAAATAGCCATTGATAAGATGCAGTAGGCATTTTTGAGGAAAAGTACTTCAAGTGTTGTTTCTGTTTGATTTTTAGGTGCTGAATCCATTTCTGCCGTATAACAAGTTGTAAACATCACTGTTTTGGCATAAACAATAAAAACAAAATGGCTGCCAAAAAACATGCATTTATTGCAGTTTAAACATTTTTAAAGCATTTAAACAATTTTAAAGCATTTATTATGTTTTAATGCATTTATTGCAGTTTAAACATTAAACATTAGAAATCTGCATTCTCAGAATATTTAAACGTGTAAACAATAAAAAAACAACATTAATACGAAAGGGACAGTTTTTAATGTTTAAATGGCTGCTGGAACTCATGAACAAGTAAACAAAATCAAGCAACAATAGTGTGATCACAGATATTCCAAAAGTTATTCGTTCATACAAGTATCATTAGACTTTCTGCATTTGCAGGATGCAGTGCATGGATTAGGCTTGCAGCCGCACCGGGCTGTCTTGCACCCAGTGGTGTAGGCACAGGTGATTAACTCCTCACAGGTATCTGGAACTGGGGGTAGTGACATGAGATGAGGAGTAAGGGAATTCCCCTCTGTCTTCCATCCCATGGTTTCAGGGGGTGGCAGAACTGACTGCTGCAAGTGGGCCTGCCGCCAGACCAAAGCCCGGAAGTGAGAGCGCTTAATGCACTCAAAAAAATGATGTGTTGGCTTTACTTAACTTTTTTATGTAAACAGGTTCCACCGGTTCCACATAACTGGGTTTCGTTAAACAAACATAATTTATTCATGTATTTTTAACATAATGGAAGTCATTTTAAGCCATCCAATTAAACTCTGAGTTGAGTGTTAAATGAACACTGAAGCAGTGTTAAAGTTAATGAGACAATTAAGTGAATAATTGAGTGATGATTGAGCATTATTGAAGACACCTGATGTTAACAAGCAGAATCACTGAACGAGAAAACCGGAATTTCAGGTCACCAGGAAATGAGTGTTTGTTTTAGTTGGGCTCTTGACCTCCACATTATTAACTTTAGATTATGTTTAGCTGTACATGAGATATAACAGCCAGATGATCAGATAGAAAAGGTGATCTGATGATTTTGGTTGTGTTTTGACATAATCATTATATGTTAAAACACAATACCTCGACACTTGGTCAGGTGGAACTGGGGATTGAACCACCAACCTTCTGGTTTGTAGGCAACCTACTTGAGCCACTGTCACTGTTAAGTTTACCTTATTGATTATAGCAGCACTGCTGTTGTAGAGCATACCATTTTAGCCTTTTCAATTGAATCAAAGAAAAAAATTGAAAAAAATTGAAAAAAAGAAACAAAAAGAAACTTGTGGGCACCAAGAGTCATCAAGAATCAGCCTATGAATCTCAACAATGGTGACAATTATAAAGCATGTTAGAGTGCATTATTGGTGCCACCAATCAAAACTCATTCATGGGTCCCATCATGTATTGCTGCATGAATAAATTTGAGCTTATGTTCAGAGGTAATCTGTTTGTCACCATTGCTGAGATTCATACACTAAATATTGATGTCTGTGTGTGCATGCATACATTTTTTTTGTTTGTTTTTTGGATTTGATCATTTTGATTTCTTTGAAAAGGCAAAAAAGGTGTGCTCTATAATGGCAGTACTGCTATAATCCATAAGATAAACTTAACTCAGAAATTGGCTTCTGTATGAGTTCAGTGATTCAGGTCTAATGATTGTGATATAATGATTATGTTGAAACACAACCAACATATACAGATCACATTTTCTAGTTGATTTTTTTGGCTGTTACAGCTCAGATACAGCAGCCAGACAAAATCATTAATAAAGTGGGGGTCAAGAGCCCAACTAAAACAAACACTCATCTCCATAATGGTGATTTTAAATTCCGCGGTTTTCTCCTTCAGTGATTCTGCTTGGTCACATCAGGTCTCTTCAATATAGCTCAATCATCACTCTGTTATTCACTTAATTATCTCATTAACTTTAACCCTGCTTCAGTGTTCATTTAACACTCAGCTCAGAGTTTAATTGGATCGCTTAAAATGACTATCATGATGTCGAAGTTACATGAACAAATTATTTTTTGTTTAACGAAACCCAGTTATGTGGAACCGGTGGAACCTGTTTACATAAAAAAAAGCCAACACATAATTTTTTTGAGTGGGAAAAAACACAATGGAAGTCTGTGGAGTCCGTCAGCTGTTTGGTTAGCCTACCTACATTCTTCAAAATATTCACTCTTGTGTTCAACAGAAGAAAGAAATACAGGTTTGGAGCAACATGATGGTGAGTAGCGTAGACTAAATGATGAAACCTTTTTCATTTTTTGGGCAAACTATCCCTTTAAGGCCCAAAACACTGTTAATTGTCAAAGGTAGCAGCCCCAACAAAATACTTGATCAACTAATTTAACATCAGCCTACGGAATGATGCAATGTGAGCTTACATTAACTGATCCAATCAAAATGCAGATTATTTTGGTGAAATATGTTTGTATGCTACTTTTATTAGCTTCAAGATTACTTTGTTAATTAATTAAATAATTTTAATCAAGTGAGCCTTTTTGGTATCCTCTTTTGGACCATTGGGAGGTCTACAGTGACTGTTGTTTTAATTGCCAAGTTTTGGAAACACATGTCATGTCATTATAGAGGTGTGCTTTGCTCGGAACTAATTTATAACATGTAGCTATTTGTTTTAGTTTTGCACTCGGTAACATCATTCAGGTTAATCATTGACAGTAAATATGACAGGCAAAAGTTTGCCCGGCGGTGACGGGTGCAAAATCCACAGCGCGCGATGACAAGCGGGGCGCAAAACCTGCGGAGATTTAAATGCGCACGGACCGTCACGCCACTCGACAATCCTTTCACTCAACAGCAGCGATATGCCACAAACTTGCGCTTTTTGTTTTTCGATTGTTGGTTAAAGAAGGGTAATCTAAAGTAAAGTCCTAGGACTACTGGAACACCACAATGAATAAACTCAGTCCTTTCAGTAATCTTGCCAAGTTTATCTCAAAGTCGCCTGATAATGGGCCAGTCAGTGTGGAGAAGCTCTGCTTGGAAGACTGCAAACCTTTGTGCCGCTGCGGGCCGGACCTTTGCGTTTGTACTTCCTCACAAAATAGTAAAGGACCGAAGGAATATAAGGTTAGTTTCATTCATAACAATTTGATCATTAGCCTACATAAAGTTTAATTAAGAAGAAAAAAAATGTTTAAAATAGGTCTATCTAAAAACGTGTTTATTTTCTACAGTAGCCTACATTACTTACAGCAAAATTTGCTACACAAAAGTGTGTGAATTTCATTTGGTTATATTAAAAGCGCTAGTCATTTTATAGGCTAACTTCTCTTATGCGTTTTGGCCATTAATTGGTCTTGCAGTGATTTTTGTGGATGTGTGAAGTCAGTTGTCCTGAAGTTCACAGATGTCACAAAGTGTCCATTCTTTTTGTTTTTATTTCAAATAAATGTATTTTCATTTTAAACATACGTCTATATTTATTTATTTGAGTTATAAATTTGAAACGCTGTTTGATATGGTGTGCTATCTTACTTTGATATGTGTAATGCAAAGGTTTGAACCATGACGGCCCATATAATATAGGTTATATTTCCATTTCTTGAAGCACTAACTTCTAGACATTTTTTTTTAGCTATTAGAAGGTTAAATGTCCAATTCAATGACATTAATATACAAATAGCAAGTAAAGAATGAACAACAACAATTATTGCGACTGTATAAACATTTTACAGTCTTGACTCTTTTGGCCACAGAGAAACTTTAGCTCTTTTGATTAAAGCCTGCTGCATAAAAAAAATGCATAAAGTACAAATAAAAATGGCACTTCGGATCAAAATTGATACACTCAGTTTGTAATAAAAGTCATTGAATAGTAAAATAGGTGGAGTAAATTCTAAGTCTTGTGATTTGATTGTTCAGTCAGACAACCTTTACTAATCTGCTCTAATACCCCTCTCTCTCTCTCTCTCTCTCTCTCTCTCTCTCTCTGTGTGTGTGTGTAGCAAGTGCTTTGTTGTAGAGCCTCAGATTTTGAGCAAACTTATTTAATAAATGTTTAAAATGCCTTGAATGTAGAAGCACATCAATGATACATTATATTTCTAAACTGGTATGTAATACCTGTAAGCTAATAAATTTATGCTCAATTTTTCTGTTTGTTTAGGAGAAAGGAAGTCCACAGGAGGGCTGGACCCCTGAAAAACATGCTTTTGATAACCTTGGTTATGAATCAGAGGGCCCCAATGGATTGAAACAGACTTTGGGGCACCAATCAGTGGTCGAGGAGACTGAGGTGAAGATCCAGGTGCAGGGAATGACATGTCAATCATGTGTTCGTTCTATTGAGGAGCGCATTGGAAGTCTTCAAGGTGTTGTTGGCGTCCAGGTGTCTTTGAGCGATAAAGAAGCCTCTTTGAGGTTTAACCCTGCGAAGGTTACACCTGAGGATTTGAGAAAACATATTGAGGATATGGGGTTTGATGCGTCACTTCTGGTGTTGCCAAGCCAACTACAACCTTCGACGACTGATTGGTCTGATGTGACATTGGGTGTAGAAGGGATGCATTGCGGGTCATGTGTGAAGAACATAACAGACACCTTGACGGGAATGTTAGGTGTGAACGCTGTATTCGTTTCATTGGAAAAAGGAAGCGTGGATCTTAGATTCGACCCATCTCTGCTAACCCTGGAGACAGTTAAAGGGTTCTTAGAGGAGATTCCACCAGGGAATTTTAGGGTTTCCATTCCTGGTTGGAACTCTACACTGAATTCCACTAAAATTCCACTCCAGGGGGTCACCATTGGAATTGAAGGGATGACATGCAACTCTTGTGTTCAAGCCATAGAGGGAATTGTGTCCCAGAAAGCTGGGGTACGCTCCATAAAAGTTTGCTTAGAGGAAAAGAATGGAATTGTAACATTTGACTCCAGCGTGACCTGTCCAGAAGAACTGCGGGCAGCAATTGAGGACATGGGATTTGAAGCGTGGCTGGATCAAGGTAGTGAATACATATTATAATACATATCTCACACAGTGAAGATCATCTTTCTCACAGGGACCACTAATAGATATCTTGTCTAGACAGTGGCTTCTTTTCTGCCAACAAAATCTGTCCAGAACAATGGTTTCCTTATTACGCAGGTTGCCATTCTAGAATAACATGAAGTGTACTTGAATGACTCAAAACCCAGACATGGCAACCTTTAAAAGGGAAAGTGGGTGAGTTAATCGGATTAAAGAGGCTTTAGGTAGACTGCTCTCTCTCTCTCTTTCTCTCTCTTTCTCTCTCTCGGAAATGTTCATAACTTTTTAACTGTGATCCTTAAACATAAAGCCATTCAAAATAATATTTACATGTAGCTTGCTATAATATATATATATATACACACACACACACATATGAAAAATGTTCTTAAGGTATGACAAGCAACAGTAGTAAAGAAATATTATAAATTGTGCGGTGTGTACCCGGCTTTAATGGTGCCCAGACAGACATATTTAAAACAACAAAACAAATAAAAATGACAAAAACACATACAAATTTCTACAACTTTAACTAAAATTAAAATGAAAACAAAAACTATAATAGTGCATCAATGATAAAATAACTGGCTAAAAGAATAAATATTACAGAAAAGAAAAATAAATATTACAAATAATTCTTCACTTATGTTCAGTATTAAATGTCTTCCATACTGTGCACAATTATTTATCTCTTTTAGATTCTGGAGTTTGTGAAGTTCCTTCAAGCAGCCAGATATCAAGTGGTGTGAAACACCTGCCCTCACAAGGCCACACATCCAAATCTGCTCTAAGTGAAATTACCAAAGATAAACTCTGTGGCTCAGAGGGAAGAGAGACACGGAAATGTTTTGTTCATGTGACAGGAATGACCTGTGCATCCTGTGTGGCTAACATTGAGAGAAACTTGTTGAAACATGAAGGTAAAAATGACATTCAGGATTAATAGTACTTGATTTAACTGTGTTTAAATTGCTATCAATATTATATAATAAGCAACAGTGGTTTGATTTGTATGCGTATTGATTGTTTAGGTGTTAAATCCGTACTAGTCGCCCTGATGTCAGGAAAGGCAGAGGTAAAGTATGATCCCGGGGTTTTAAACCCAGCACAGATCGTCCAACTTATCTCCCGTTTAGGATTTGGTGCCTCAGTGATGGAAGAGAATACAGTCCAGGATGGTGTCTTGGATCTCTCTGTGAGTGTAAAAAATGTTGTTGCTTTAACTTGTAACCTGGTTGCCTTAAAGGGATAGTTCACTTTGAAATTAGTTTTTGATATGTTTTAGCTTACCTCAAGGGCATCCAAGATGTAGGTGTCTTTGTTTCCACAGTATTTTCAATTTTGATATTTTTCAGTCAAACCGTTGTTTTCTGTCAGTCATATAATGCAGGTTTAGGGGGTCCACCTCAAAGAGCATGCACAGAGAAGTCCAAATTAAACATGATTTAATTACTTTATTTAATGACGATATACATATTTAGTTAAATTGAAATTGTCTTCCATTGCAATTTATAAATATTAGATTTTAGATTGTATGTCTAAATACAATCTAAATATTTTTAGTGACAGGTAAAACTTACGAAATCTCTGTGTAAACAATGAATGACGAACACACGCAAGCAATCACTTCCAGCACATGCGCAGACCGAAGCGCCCGTGCCGTCAGATCATTTGGACGTGGCTGTGGTTACAAGAGGTAAAAACGATATAAATACTGTTCGTTTTCTTACACAAACCGCTCGTTTCGTGTCTTAGGCCATCTATGTGTACTTACATTTACGAGTCATTAAATCATTTTTAATTTGGACTTCGCTGTGCATGCTTTTTGAGGTGGACCCCATATACCTCCATTATATGACTGATAGACAACAACGGTTTGACCGAAAAATATCAAAATTGAAAATACTATGGAAACAAAGACTCCTACATCTTGGATGCTCTTGAGGTAAGCTAAACATATCAAAAATTAATTTCAAAGTGAACTATCCCTTTAAAACTATAAGTTCATTGAAATTGAAAAATTTAGTTAATACAATGAAGGAGATTGATTTAATAATCAGAAACTCAAAATATCATGTTATCTGAACCACATAAATTATCTAAGTTGATTTGACAGAAGACAAAACGTTATGATAACAAATCATGATTTTTTTGACAGTAAGTGTTATTTTTATAACTTAAAGCAGTTGCGCACCCAAAAATGAAAATTCTGTCATCATTTACTCACCTTCAAGTTGTTCCAAACCTTTATGAATTTCTGTCTTCTGCTGAACACAAAAGAAGATATTTTGAAGAATATGGGCAAACAAACAGTTGATGGACCCCATTGACTTCCATAATATGCAAATATGTAAAAACAAAAAAGGGTCCAAGTGTATACATCAAACAGTGCCATGTATGTATCAAATAGATATTGTTTTTTTTTTGTTTTCAAAAATGTTGTTACCTCTAAATTATTTGTCATTTTTATTAAAACAATATTACTAAAGGCCACTATCAATTAAACAGAGTTTAATTGTAAGAGACTTTTTTATAAGTACTTAAAGGAACAGCTTTCACTTAAAATATATTGTTTGAAACACAAGAAGTAAAAAAGTATAGTTTTTTCACCCTTTTATATCTGCCAAATCACCAAAAAATGTGTTCAAACATTTTTCACTGCTTGAATTAAAAAGTTTGTGTATTTACAGGAAACATGATCTCCACAAAAGGCAAAACATTATATATTTGAAAGAAAGGCCAAAGTTGTCCTCTCTCTCTCTCTCCCTCTCTCTCTCTCTCTCTCTCTCTCTATATATATATATATATATATATGAAGAGTTCAGATGCAAAAGCCTCTAAATGCCATTTGAAATTTTCTTCTAAAATGACCATTTTTATCAAGCTTGTATATTTAAGTTCAGTAATTTCACTTAAATGACAATTAATAGGTAATCTTCATTGCCATTTAAGTGAAATCACTGAACTTAAATATACAAGCTTGATAAGAATGATCATTTTAGAAGAAAATTTCAAATGGCACTTAGAGGCTTTTGCATCTGAACTCTTCATATATATATATATATATATATATATATATATATAAATCCAGTGGGAAGAGAAATGAAATGGAAATTTTAATGAAAGGCTGATGTAGAATTCAACTAAAGTATGGTTTGATGTCAGCAATTTATAGGCCTCTGAGTTGTTTCAATCTTGACTGATATTTCATCAGGTCACCGGTATGACGTGTGCTTCCTGTGTCCATAACATTGAGAGCAGACTTTTAAGGACAAAGGGAATTCTGGAAGCCTCTGTTGCTTTGGCGACAAACAAAGCTCATGTGAAATTTGACTCGGATTTGATTGGCTCTCGAGATATCGTTCGAATTATCGAGGTAAATTTATTTTTTTATTACCGGTATTGGCAAGCATGAGTTTTTTCAGTATTAGTGTTATTTTATTAATTTATTGTTGTTATTCCTTTTCCGCTCAATCCATTTCCCGTTTTCTATAGGGTTTGGGTTTTGGTGTGTCTTTAATAAAAAACGAGGGACTGAACAACACACTGGACCACCAAGCGGAAATTCGCCAGCAAGTATCTTTTTCAAATTTAACCTCTCTTATGTCTGTGTGTGTGTGGTCAAGGTAGACCCTACGTTATGTGGACAAAATGTCCCCACAAAGATGGCAAAATCCTTATTTTGTGGTGACATTATTATTATTATTATTACAAAATTATGTGTTTAGGGGTAGGGTTATGGTTTGTTGATAGAATATACAGTTTGTATAGTATAAAAATCATTATGTCTTTGGAAAGTCCCGATAAAATATGGAAACCAGTGTATTTCTGTATAATGGTGTAAATGCTCTATATCTGCAGATGGAAGCATTCGTTTCTGTTCAGCCTGGTGTTTGGGATCCCCGTGATGGGTCTGATGATCTACATGATAGTGATGGACAGTCAACACAAGGAGCATGGTGGATCCATGCCTGTGGACCAGAACATCCTACCTGGTCTATCCATCATCAACTTGGCCTTCTTCCTGCTCTGCACACCTGTTCAGGTACCTCCACTGCAGATTATGGAAGCATATTGGGTCTCATATTTTAATAATGGCCTATTTATGTGTGATGGATCTGCCATGAGCCTTAGCAAATCACAAAAAATAAACAAAACAGGGAGCAAAGTGGTATTCAATTGTAAAAGTTTTTATTAAATTTTGCTTATTCGAGATAAAACGTGATCAAGCCTCATTAGAAAGGAAAAAGGGCGAAAATTGTATTCCATTCAGGTTACATCACAGCAAATATCCAGTTTTGTGCTTGAACCTCTCAAACTAAGAGAGGACAAGAGTTCAACACAACCTTTCCCAGGATACAATAAAGTAACAACCCTCACTAGACAAAACATACACTGAATTTATAGGTAGCCAGCACCATGACAACAAAAAGGGGAAACAAAACCATACAAATTTTCACAACAGTAACACAACACCCCCTGGAATGAACACAATACATTTAACTACATTTAGAGCAATGGTTAAATGTTAGTTAATGTAAGAATAATTATAATAAACAAAAATCACATTAGAATTCCCATAAAACAGATCAACTTCCTGTTTGAATCTCTTCGTCACTAGGCTGATCCATTCTCACAACACACCAAATACTAAACATTTCAAGTCATTTTAATTACAAAATGAACAATTTGAGCTATCTTATTATAAATCAAATTTTAGTCAAAGAGGAATTTTAACTGGTTTTAACATTTTAATCTATAACTAAGCCCAGTATGACTCAGTATGATGACAAATAAAGATCTTAAACCAAACCAATATAGTAATGTCCTTTTATTTATTGATCAATGCAAAGATGATTGTATAAGAATTGTGTGGCTTAAATCCTGGCCATCACAATATGTGGGCATATACAGGCATGTCATTTTTGTTACTCTGAAATAGGGATGATTTAGTCTAGTGTCAGATTAGTGTAGTGTTTATCTAGTGAGTATCTAGTGTTATTAGATAAAAAAACAGTAAATGGTGAAATATTATTAAAATTTAAATAATTGTATATACTGTTTTAATATTAAAATGTATTTTATTGAAATTTCAGCATCATTACTCAAATCTTCAGTGTTATTCCACTCAAAGCTTTGGAACAAATTAGTGAATAAACGATTTAATGACTCGCATTTCATGAGTTAGCATCAATGAGTTAGCATTTCAGCACTCCCGGTTCCCTCACTCTAAAGTCTATGGGTTTTTTGAATGGGTTTTTGCAATAATGCCTAAAATAAAGTCTGTGGTTAGCCTCTAAATGTTTTCACGTTTTGATCTTCTATGACATAAAACACACCAATTATAACCTGCTTGTGTTTTTTAATCTTTAAATTCTGCTTGTGTTTATTTTTAACTTTATATAGCCTAGGCCTCAAAATGTAAAGATTATCTTGATAGACAAAACGTGTCACAGGGTCACAACTCTTTGTTGAACACAGATCTTATTTTTTTGCGTTTTTCCGAAAGTCTATGGGGAAAATAGCTTTTCGATCGAGGGAACCCATGCGACGCTAACTTCTAAATTGTCCTACAAAGTGACGTCATCACTTTGGCACTCTATTAAGTTTTTGAATTAATTGTATGAGTGAATGATATTAATAACTCACATGTAAAGGAAGTTGCTTGTCGCCACCTACTGGTCTGGATGTAACCTAAGATTCACTGAACAATTCCCACCACTAATGCAGAGACAAACTGGAACATGCACTGGTTTTCACAGATGTGAATGGCTAGTGAATAAAGAGTCAGCGATTGTATTGATTAGATGTTTAGTGGTTCAGATTTAGTCATTAATCTGTTTAGTCATTTAGTCATTCAGTCATTACTAATGTTTTTTTTTATGTTAGGTGGCCTAATATTTTACTGTGAATATTTATCATATAAAGGTCATACATAATAGTTTGAGTGACAGACAATGAATCTTTAATTGTATTTCACTCTCTTTTTCTGATTCTTCTTTAATCTAATTAAGTTTCTAGGTGGCCGATACTTCTACATACAAGCATACCGTTCGCTAAAACATGGTGTAGCCAACATGGATGTGCTCATTGTCTTGGCAACCACCATTGCATACGTGTATTCATTCATTGTGCTGATCGTGGCCATGATTGAAGGAGCCAAACAGAGTCCTCTGACATTCTTCGATACGCCTCCGATGCTTTTTGTGTTCATCGCTCTAGGACGCTGGCTGGAGCATGTTGCTAAGGTAAAGAAACGTCAAGAAAACTCAAATCATCACTCTTTAGGAAAGTAAAGTTAGCAGTGACAAAATTAGGCTGTTTCTGACAATATTTGAAGCATGTTATCTAGTTGAATGTTTTTAATTAGTTCATATAAAATTGGGAAAATTGGCATATAAAATGAGCCTATTTCCAAAAAAAGTGGAGTATCCCTTTAAGGCGATTATGCATAATAAATTAACTCGTTTTCCTATATCGGAGTAAGATCATAAACTGCTTTAGTATAAACCGGTCGACACAGCTAGATTTTTACCCCGATTTCACCCGGCATTAAAACACATTAACCTGTTTTCTGTCAGCTTATTGTATTGTGTGTGTGTATGATTTGTGACAGAAACTCGTCCTTACAGAGTGAGTGTTTCACAGACTCTTTTTAAAATGATAAAAATATGTTCTCATCTTGTGCAGAAGTGGTACAGTCCAAATTCTGCATCTGTAACTGCATGAGAGGATAATATACTTACTAGGTAATTGGTTTCAAAAAGCTGATATTTGGGAGTCATAAGTGTATTGGCGACTGGTTTGACATGGTTCTGGGGTCTTTATGAAACAGAAAACACTAAATCCAAGGTTATATGGTCGGACTGTTTATGTGAGCTAACCATTTGAGCATCATTTTTACCTGAATGAGATAAAAACCAATGATATTTGCCTTTATTTTGTCCTTTCAGAGTAAAACTTCTGAGGCTCTGGCTAAACTCATGTCACTTCAGGCCACAGATGCCACTATAGTGTCCCTGGGCCGAGACAACATCATCATCAGGTTCAGTTCACTTTCTAGAGTCTAAGTCATTATATGAAACTAATCAAATTTCAGGGGTGCTCATAAGTGAATTAGATACTTCAGGTTTGACTGATAGCAGGGGTCAGCCATTTGTTTTTTCATGATATTTTGATATCAACCTTCTTATTTACAGTAGATGTATCAAATTTAGTGTTGTCAAAATGACTCCTGTGGAAAAAACACCTTCCAAGGACATATGCCAGCAAACCCGAACACACAAAATGATTGACAGGCTAGGAGCTCTGCTGTAAGTGTGAGGCAACAGGAGCAGGATTGAGCACCCCGGCATGAATTTGAATACTGAACGGTATTGATTGATGTGTGTGCCGTGTTGAATGAGACGTACGCAAAATGAAACTGTACATTTCCTGTCATGTGTCAGCGAAGAGCAGGTATCTGTGGATCTGGTGCAGAGAGGTGACGTGGTAAAGGTGGCACCAGGGGGGAAGTTCCCTGTTGACGGGAAGGTCATTGCAGGCACGTCTATGGCAGATGAGTCCCTTATCACTGGTAAGACTTTGACTTAGTCAGTGGGGGTTTGTGTGGTTTAGGATGTTAAATTTGTAAACAGTGTCATAGTACATACTTTGTAGGTTTTCCCAGTGATTCAGAAACGTCATTGTGATTTTAAGTTAAAGGTGCAGTGTGCTTATAGTTGTCTTTGCATATTAGGCTTGGATAGGAGAAAGTGTCTTAACATATAAAGTACACAAATGACCTTCATGGGTGAAAAATGAAAGGGTTAGTTCACCCAAAAATGAAAAAGTCTTGTCGTTCCAAATCCATAAGACTTTTTATTCATCTTCAAAACACATAAGATATTTTTAATGAAATAGCAGAGATTTCTGTCCCTCCATTGGAAGTCTAATTACCCAAAACCAAAATTTGGTCACGAAAGCTCAAGTATGATTGAGCATGGTTGGTTGAGCTTCTGATTATGTCCGCTGATCAATGTTTATTCAGAAATCTCCCTTGAGAAGACTCGGATTGAACTGCCCAATTCATATTAATTTGTTTTACGAATTTATGAATGTTTTGAAGCGTCATAGTTTTGTATGAATAGACATTTAGTTCATTTAGTTCTTATGGGTTTGGAATGGCATGAGTGAGTAGCTAAACAAACTGTAGCTGACAAAATGTTCCTTTTTGAGTGAACTATCTCTTTATTTTTTCATATGCGAGTATGAGTGCCTGCTCAAAGTATGATTTTTGGTTTCTGGCTTCACCTTCTGCTTTTTCCTAGTGACCTGTCATGTTCATTAGTTACAGTGGTATGAATAAGTTTTGGCACCCATGCTAAAGTTGCCTAAAAAGAGGAATAAAAAATCATCTTTTGGATATTGATCTTAATGCCTTAATTAGAAAAATGAGGAAAACTCCAACCTTTAAGGACACAAATTTTCTTTGTGAATGAATAATGTATCATAAATAAATAAACGTTTTTCCTTAAAATACAGGGTGCATAAGTCATGGCACCCCTATGTTAAATTCCCATAGAGTCAGGCAGATTTTTATTTTTAAAAGCCAGTTACTCCATGGATCCAGGATAATATGCATCCTGATAAAGTTCCCTTGGCCTTTGGAATTAAAATATCCCCACATCATCACACACCATTCACCATGCCTTGAGATTGGCATGGTTTTACTTCAGTTAGCCAAATAGCTGGTTTGATTTGCATTGAAAGATGATCTTATGGAAAGTACCCCATGCCAATCTCTAGGTGTGGTGGAAGGTGTGTGATGATGTGGGTCTATTTTAATTCCAAAGGCCAAGGGAACTTTATCAGGATGCATATTATCCTGGATCCATGGAGTAACTGGCTTTTAAAAATAAAAATCTGCCTGACTCTATGGGAATTTAACATAGGGGTGCCATGACTTATGCACACTGTATTTTAAGGAAAAACATTTATTTATTTATGATATATTATTCATTCACAAAGAAAATTTGTTTTGTTTTGTTTGTTTTCCTCATTTTTCTAATTAAGGCATTAAGATCAATATCCAAAAGATGATTTTTTATTCCTCTTTTTAGGCAACTTTAGCATGGGTGCCAAAACTTATTCATACCACTGTATATTAGCATTATATTGGTCCTAAGCTGCCTGATGAATTCTAAGAATCGGAAATCCTAACTGAAAGTCTATTTCTCATTGCAGGAGAGCCAATGCCGGTCATTAAGAAACCAGGCAGTTGCGTGATTGCAGGCTCGATTAACGCTCATGGAGCTCTACTAGTGAAAGCCACCCATGTAGGGTCAGAGACCACGCTCAGCCAGATAGTTAAACTAGTGGAAGAGGCACAGACATCAAAGGTAGTAAATCATGTACACTAACATGATACAAACACACTCGGACATGTGTGCAAACAAACCTTTGCCTTTAGAGGTATCAGCAATGTAATAAGAGGCCGAGAGTAAAGAAAACCTGGAAATAGACAAGCATGTGCATACAAAAGCAAGTTTACTTTCCTATTTTCTTTTACTTGGGCTTGGCGTCTTTTAAAATATTTATTCGATAAATCTAAAAATGCTTATGTAGTTTTTCTGTAGTTGTGTGTAGATACATGTAATACATTTTTTTACAAAAAATACAGGGAAAATTAAATAAAAGGCATTTTTATTAGGACATTTATGTGAACAGAAGAAATGTAGGCTCTAAATTAATAAAATACGGTCAAACATAATTTATATATCCATGTTATAAGTAAAAAAAACGAAAACCTTTTTTATTTACTTTCAATTTGTCACGATTCTGTTGTGTTTCTGTTTCATTTTCAAGGACTTTTGGTTTGTTATCGTCGATTCTTTTGTTTTCATCATTGTTTCATTGATTACACACACCTTTTTTCCTCATTTGGAGACTATATTACCTCAGTTTAATTTGGTCGTTGTCTAGTGTGCACACTTACTTTTAGGTTGCTTTTCTTTTGTTTGGATTTATTTGGTTGTTTGATTTTACTCTTGTTTTGTTTAATAAAGAATATGCACCTCGTTTTCCTCCTAAGCCCAATCGTGACACAAATATACCTTCATATTTAATTTACACTTTAATTTTTACCTTAGTCTTACAATCTATTAAAATATTTATTCATGATAAATCTAAAAAATGTAAATGTAGTTAAAGGATTAGTTCACTTTAAAAAAAAACTTTTGCTGATAATTTACTCACCCCCATGTTATCCAAGATGTCCATGTCATTCTTCAGTTGAAAAGAAATGAAGGTTTTTGATGAAAACATTCCAGGATTTTCTCCATATAATGGACTTCATTGGGAACCAAACGGTTCAAGGTCCAAATGACAGTTTCAGTGCTGCTTCAAAGGCCTTTAAAGACACCAGACGACAAATAAGGGTCTTATCTAGGACCCTTCGAGTCACGAGTCGAAAAAAGATTTGTTCATTTTGATGAACGAGTTTGAACAGGAGAGTCATGAACGCTCATCACAGAACAGAGCAAGGAGAGCATTTGTGCTTATAAAACTTAAACTTTTTTATTTATTTTTTAAATGACCAATCGTTTTGCTTAATATGACCCTTATTCATCGCCTGTGTCGTTTAAAGCCCTTTGAAGCAGCACTGAAACTCTCATTTGGACCTTGAACCGTTTGGTTCCCAATGAAGTCCATTATGCATGGAGAAAAATCCTGGAATGTTTTCATCAAAAACCTTAATTACTTTTCAACTGAAGAAAGAATGACATGGACATCTTGGATGACATGGGGGCGAGTAAATTATCAGCAAAAATGACTCCTTTAATTGAATAAAAAAAAATTGAATATAAGGCATTTTATGGTGTGGACAGAAGAGAATTAAACACTAAATTAATAAGATCCGCTCAGTCTGTTACTTTAACCTAATTTTAACATATTTGTTATAAATAAAAACATTCTTTAGATTGTTGTAATGATATAATTGTCCTCTTCTTTTGGCAGGCACCGATTCAACAGTTAGCCGACAGATTGAGTGGCTATTTCGTTCCGTTCATAGTGGTCATCTCTTTGCTAACAGTGGTAGCATGGCTCATCATTGGCTTTCTGGACTTTGACATTGTGGCAAAGTATTTCCCTGTGAGTTACAGTAATTCATCAACTGTGTGTAAACGCAAGCATGTGTGCGAGAAAAAAAAACTAGAAAAAGTCTCTAACCTAAGTATGAACTCTACAGGGTTATGAGCAAAACATCTCCCGAACAGATGTGATCGTCCGCTTTGCCTTCCAGGCCTCCATCACAGTTCTGTCCATTGCGTGCCCCTGCTCTCTGGGTCTGGCAACCCCTACTGCTGTTATGGTGGGCACAGGGGTGGGCGCTCAGAATGGCATTCTCATAAAGGGCGGAGAACCCCTAGAGATGGCCCACAAGGCAATGCTCAACACTAATTCCTTCTAAGTCTGTATTTATTAAGCTGACATCCCGGGGTGCAGCGCTATTGGAATTTTGCTGGATTTGTATATATTATGTATGTATAAGTCAGAATGATCAATTTTACAGGAAGGACATGTTAACATTATCAAAAGTGACCGTAAAGAATTTTATATTGTTACAAAACTGCTATTCTTTTTTAACTTAATTCATCAAAAAAAAAAAAAAATTCTGAAAGAAATGTTTTTACAAAAATATTAAGCAGCACAACTGTTTTTAACATTTTTGATAATAATAAATGTTTCTTGAGAACTAAATCAGCATATTAGAATTGTTTCTGAAGGATCATGTACACTGAAGACTGGAGTAATTATGCTGAAAATTCAGCTTTGCTTTCAAATAAATAAATTATATTTTTAAAATATTTTCAAATAGAAAACTCTTATTATAAATGGTAATAATATCTCACAATATCCGTTTTTTTTACTCTTTTGATCAAATAAATGCATGATTGGTGTGCATAAGAAACATTGGGTCAAAAACATACTGACCCCAAATTGTGTAGCTATACTCTAGATATATAATATATAATAATCCAGCAAAATATATGGTCTCTACAGGCATCATTTATCAAATAAGCATATAACACATTTATAATACAATTTAAAATATGCATCTATTATATCTATATTCTATTTTTTTGTCTGTATTCATATATAGAGAGACATGCATTTATAAATCTAGCTCAGATTCACTGGGTTGTCTGTTATAACTGGACTCTCTTCCCTGCAGGTTGGGGCTGTTATGTTCGATAAGACGGGCACCATCACTAATGGTGTGCCGCAGGTGACCCGAGTACTGGTTCTGTGGGACCGAGCAAGGCTTCCTCTTCGGAAGGTTCTGGCTGTGGTGGGCACCGCTGAGGCCAGCAGTGAACATCCACTGGGCATAGCTGTCGCAAAGCATTGCAAAGAGGTTTGGGAAAGCCACCACACTCAACAAACTTTGAAACTTCTGGACAGTATCACATGATCCAGCCGTATATACAAAAGCCTCCAAAATTGAGGAAAAACCATATTTTCCACCACCCACTTCTGTTTCCATGTTTGTTTGTCTGGCATGTTAAAGAGGTTTCTAAATCTATCTCTCTGTAGGAGTTGGGAACAGAAACTCTGGGCTCCTGCCATGACTTCCAGGCTGTTCCAGGCTGTGGAATCAGTTGTAAAGTCTCCAACATTGAGGATCTGCTGCAGAACAGTCCAAAGACACAAGAAACAAACACACCCGCAGCAAAGCAAACACCACTTGTCACTATCCAAGGAGCCACCACAGATGAGAGCAGCTTGGTGGCGGGCACAGATTCTTGGTCAGGTAAGGTAAATGTGTGTTATTGGTGCCTCCTAGTGTGCTCTTTGTGTATTACATTTTCAGAGTCTTTTTCCTTTTAGGCGAGACACTGCAGGTGAATAGGGTAAAAATTTTAACTTACAGATGTCACCATGAAACTTTACCAGTTGATTACTCGCATAAATAGGAGAAAAAATGTATTGCAAGTTTTCTGTAACTTTATGTTTAAATATGCTAATCAGGCTATATCTAATTAAATATGCACTAATTTGCATATATTTTGAAGTGACGAATCTGACCATTGGAAAAAAACAAGGTTCAAAATTATGTTTGCATTTTGTTGATATATTTAATGAAAAGACATTTTCAGAGGGGATTATGAATTTCTCCTTTCGTGACTCTGTAAATCAGAAAATACTGCCAATAGCCTTGATTTTCGCCCTATTTTTAGGCATAAAATGTCAATTTTTTGATTCCATAGATATTTTATCATATTAATATTTCAAGCTTATGTAGTTTTAAAGCATAAAAGCTTTGTTGTGTGTCAGTTTTTTGTATTTTCATGTATTTATTTATTTATTTCAGTTTGATTGTGGCTCAGATTTCCTTGAATGAATGAATCTCTTGGTGTATGAAGACAGATAGACAGCACTAATATATGTATATATGTTTTCTCAGATTGCCCCTCCTACTCTGTTTTGATCGGGAACAGACAGTGGATGTTACGGAATGGTTTGGAGGTCACATCTGATGTGGATGATGCCATGAGCAGCCACGAGACTAAAGGACAGACGGCCATACTTGTGGCCATTGATGGTACCACCCAAGTTCATAAATTACCTTTTGTATTTAATTGCATGTTAAGAAAATAAGTTTTGTCTAACAAGCATTCATTATTAAAAATAATAATTTTCTTATATTTGTTATGGTTGGAGGCTGTAGAGAAGCGCGCATTGTTAAAGAACGAAACGTTTTTTTATTATAGTCCACAAGGAAAACTTAGGAGATAAACTTGGATAATGACCACGTTTGGCATTCACGCAAACAATACAGGAACCAGAAACTGAGACACAGAGCTTAAAATAACAGGGAAAACTAACGAGTTAACTAATAGAATAACAGGTGAATGAAATCAGTAATTAAAGGAACAAACTGGCACACACTGGGAAACTAGTGCTGTGTTTGTGGGCAATATCAGCCGTTAGAGTGTGCATCGATCTACACTTCGGATTCTGACCGGAAAAAGTAGACCATCCGGGTATCTTTGAAACACTCATTTCAACATACTACGATTTGGGACGTACTAATTCTATTTTCGAATACTAATTAGGACGGATAGTATGCGAATTGGGACGTAGCATAGGTCAGAGAACACGTGGTTGGGAAACAGAACAAAACAGCGAATAACATTTAAAGGGGCAGTAAGCGATTTTCGGCAGTTAGGGGTGTGTCCACTCATGAGGGGGGAGGTGCCTGTGCTGCATAAATTATTCATGGAGCTATCAAGATAGAGGTGTGATCCTTTTGGGTAAGGGGGTCTGTTTGCTTTTGTGATTTCAAATATCAACAATTTCTCAGAAATCACTTACTGTACCTTTAACAGAACTTTCCAGTCTGTCTAATTTTATTAGTCGTATCATACTTTTTCTGCCTGATGTCCATTTATAATATATTTAGAATTTATCATTAGTTAAATCAAGCTATTAAAGTAATGGTTCTCCCAAAAATGGAAATAATCAAGACATCCTAGGTGCGTATGACTTCCCAGATATAGCAAACTGACATTGAATCAACGTGGAAACATGACATCGAAACAACGTTGATCTGACATTGTTTTGCTCATCGAATTAACGTTGAACCAACGTCAGACACGTCATTCTTTCAAAACTAACGGAAAATCAACTTGAAATCAACGTTGTTTCAACGTTATGAAAGCAAACCAATTTTCGATTTTCATTTAGCTTTGAAGAATGCCGCGTCTGACGTTGGTTCAACGTTAATTCGATGAGCAAAATCAACGTTGTTTCGATGTCATGAGAGACGTCGTTTCCACGTTGATTCAATGTCAGTTTGCTGTCTGGGTTTCTTCTTTTAGGCGATCTACTCCTTTAATTGTCAAGCTTTTTTGTTTCAAAAGGCCATCGCTCTTTTTCTCCCTCTTTCTGTCTTTTTTTTTTAAGGTGTCTTGTGTGCTATGTTAGCCGTGGCAGATACTGTAAAGCCAGAGTCGGCTCTAGCTGTTCACACGCTGTGCAGTATGGGAATAGAGGTCTTCATGATCACAGGAGACAACAGACGTACAGCCCGGGCCATCGCCACACAGGTGCATATCCATACGCGCATTTTGCCTAGAACCAAATAAAATATGAGCAGGAATTCATATAACTCATTATACGTAAAAGATCACAAGCTGGATTCAAACTCAGGTCGTTCACACACAAGCACCCCCATTCAGAATATTGAAGTATGTTCATAAAGGTGTGATCATAATTAAATCTGTTCTGTACATTTTCATAGATTAAATCATTATTTTAATATTTCAGAAATTTTGCGATTTCCCCACGCGTATTTCACAACAGTTTTCAAGTTGGTCACGTTGATTTGCCGCATTGACCAGAAAGCAGCTTTGTTTTTAGAGTGACTTTTTCTGACATCCAATTTTGTGTCTGACGTTATGTCTGATAGTATTTACACCAGAATACACTGTTTTCATTTTACAGGTTGGCATCAGGAAGGTGTTTGCAGAAGTCTTGCCCTCCCATAAAGTGGCAAAGGTCCAGGAATTGCAGGAAAGAGGTCTGAAAGTTGCAATGGTGGGCGATGGGGTCAATGACTCGCCCGCTCTTGCCCATGCTGATCTAGGCATCGCCATAGGAACGGGCACTGATGTTGCCATTGAGGCAGCAGGTATTGTCCTTATACGGGTGAGTTACCCAATTAAAATAGATTTATCAGGAAATAAAGGGGAAATTCTATTTAAAAAAAAAAATTCAATTATGTTTTGTGTTGATGTAGAATGATCTACTGGATGTGGTGGCCAGTATCGAGTTGTCTAAAAAAACAGTGCAGAGAATCCGGATAAACTTTGTGTTCGCTCTCATTTATAACTTGCTTGGCATCCCTGTTGCAGCAGGTAAACAGATCCAACCACTCTAATTCCAATGTTTTCTTACATTTAGTGAGTGTGCATTCAGTAATAGATGTAGTTTACTGGTTTGAGCCTGATTTTCAGGTGTGTTCATGCCTGTCGGGCTGGTGCTGCAGCCGTGGATGGGCTCTGCTGCGATGGCAGCTTCCTCTGTCTCAGTGGTGCTCTCCTCTCTACTGCTGCGACTGTGAGTGCACACTACAGTACACCATCATGATGTGGTCTTCACATTCTACCTGCATGCATCATAGGTCTTTTCCAAAAGCAAGAAAATTTCCCATTTAGGCATCATAGGAGTCCTGACACAAAAGCTTTGCAGCAAAATAATGCTACCTTATAAGCTGCACTGAATCAGAGCCGGCTGCAGAAACAAACCAATGGACGGGCATTTAATATTGTAGGGGGGGCCTAATTATGACATCCAATACATTTTTCTATAGGACAAAAACCAACTATTACGCCGATTTCAAGTACCAGGCGTAATTTGCGGGTGGGATATGTCCCCACCGTCGATATTGTACCCACCACTTTTGAAACATTCCGCCACGAATGTACCAATACAAATAAACAAAACATCTTCAGTTAACTAGCAGAGCATTCGTTTCGTTCGTTTTTTAAATAAGAGACGATTTAGCGCTGAAATGTGTTTTTAAAATCAACTGTTCAAATTAATGCTCGTTGCCGCTGGCGCGGATAGGCTAATGTGTTTTTTTTTTTTCTGGCTTGCGCACAGTCTTCACTCGGACGCGCAATCCTGTGGAGAGACTCTATTCATTACGGTGAAATTAAAACCACAAAATGTTCTGAAGATGTTTTGTCTGTGCCTGATATACAACCACTGATAAACATAATCAGTTTTGATGGGAAAAAAATGTTATATAGAACGGATTAGAACCCAGAATCTCTGGCACGCTTGGCAAAAGTTCTACCCCTGGACCATTATTTACATTCACGTTTAATACAAATATAAAGGCGTAATTGAACGACCACATAAAACCTAAATCAATAACTATTTAAATCGATTAAAGGATATCGTAATGTTATTGTACATATCTGTTTTATGATTTAGCATTGTGTCAGGGCTGGTGCAACTTAAGAAGAGTAATAAAAATAACTGGCCCACTCATGTTCTTAATACAGCTGAAGTCGACGTTTTTGGAGTGGAATCTCCGCATGAGTTATTCAATACATTATTTTTATTTTTTAAAATAAATTTCTTTTTAAAATGTATTAATTGCAAATTGCATGGAGAGGGGGGCACAGGCGCTCGGTAGGCAGGCCCGGCCCCCTAAGGCCCACCCATAGCGCCGGGTATGGCCATGAGACTTAGACCTGAGTGCAAAAATGGAGGCTCTAGCCCCTTCCAGAGCTGAGATATCGAAACTCAAAAATTCGGCCCGAAAAAAAAAAACGACAGTGGTACCCCTTACGTTTTTTTTTTTTTTTTTTGGGCGAAAAATTAAGTTTCTCCAATCTTCCCAAAACTCTGGATTCTGATAGAGGGCCATGAGACTTAGACCTGAGTGCAAAAAATGGAGGCTCTAGCCCCTTCCAGAGCTGAGATATCGAAACTCAAAAATTCGGCCTGAAAAAAAAAACGACAGTGGTACCCCTTACGTTTTTTTTTTTGGGCGAAAAATTAAGTTTCTCCAATCTTCCCAAAACTCTGGATTCTGATAGAGGGCCATGAGACTTAGACCTGAGTGCAAAAATGGAGGCTCTAGCCCCTTCCAGAGCTGAGATATCGAAACTCAAAAATTCGTCCCGAAAAAAAAACGACAGTGGTACCCCTTACGTTTTTTTTTTTTTGGGCGAAAAATTAAGTTTCTCCAATCTTCCCAAAACTCTGGATTCTGATAGAGGCCATGAGACTTAGACCTGAGTGGAAAAATGGAGGCTCTAGCCCCTTCCAGAGCTGAGATATCGAAACTCAAAAATTCGTCCCGAAAAAAAAAACGACAGTGGTACCCCTTACGTTTTTTTTTTTTGGGCGAAAAATTAAGTTTCTCCAATCTTTCCAAAAACTCTGGATTCTGATAGAGGGCCATGAGACTTAGACCTGAGTGCAAAAATGGAGGCTCTAGCCCCTTCCAGAGCTGAGATATCGAAACTCAAAAATTCGGCCGAAAAAAAAAAAACGACAGTGGTACCCCTTACGTTTTTTTTTTTGGCGAAAAAATTAAGTTTCTCCAATCTTCCCAAAACTCTGGATTCTGATAGAGGGCCATGAGACTTAGACCTGAGTGCAAAAATGGAGGCTCTAGCCCCTTCCAGAGCTGAGATATCGAAACTCAAAAATCGGCCTGAAAAAAAAAACGACAGTGGTACCCCTTACGGTTTTTTTTTGGGCGAAAAATTAAGTTTCTCCAATCTTCCCAAAACTATGGATTCTGATAGAGGGCCATGAGACTTAGACCTGAGTGCAAAAATGGAGGCTCTAGCCCCTTCCAGAGCTGAGATATCGAAACTCAAAAATTTGGCCTGAAAAAAAAAACGACAGTGGTACCCCTTACGGTTTTTTTTTTGGGCGAAAAATTAAGTTTCTCCAATTTTCCCAAAACTCTGGATTCTGATAGAGGGCCATGAGACTTAGGGCCA